TTGATTTCAGGAAGCACAGCACCAACCTAGCCCCCCTTTACATCAACAGCGAGTGCGTGGAGAGGGTTCACACTTTCAGATTTCTTGGTGTCCATATCTCTGCTGACCTAAACTGGAAAGAGAACACCACAGCGGTCATCAAGAAGGCTCAGCAGAGACTACACTTCTTAAGAGTCCTTAAGAAGCACAACTTGAACACAAAACTGCTGCTGACCTTCTACCGCTCGTCCATCGAGAGCCTGCTGACATACTTTATCTCAGTATGGTACGGCAGCTGCACCCTGGCTGACAGGGAGAGGCTTCAGAGAGTAGTCAAGACAGCACAAAAGATAATTGGCTGCCCTCTCCCCTCCCTGATGGACATTGTAGATGAACAGATGCTCTGATATATTCATCAATTAACGCGGATTCCTCATTTTTCTGAACTGAATAAAACGTGCATTGAATTTAATGAAATGCAAACGTGAGACGTCATTTATATTTGACCCATCAAAATGAATGCGGTCATTTATTTACAGAATCAAAGTTTAACATCAAACATTTACATTAATTTGGCAAATTATGAAAATAACAACATAATCAATCAATCAGGAAAAATCATACGGCCATGATTTTTCCGTTGCTTCACCACAGACATTTATGAAAACTGTACAATTATGATCTTTTACCCACACGGATGTGGATGAGCACTTTACACAGACATTTCTAAAATATCTGGAAGAATTTCTACTTGAGAGAAAAGTTTAAAGATGGGAAAGAAGTTAAAGGGAGTAAAGATGGTATGTGAGGGGAAGTGTTCACCAGAACCGACACTCTCCATCAGAACCCAGCTCGCCTCGGTACGCTTGGTAGGAAACTTGACTCATTACCTTTCTGAGATTAATCAGCAGATATGGAGTTCCGTTAACGCTACCTGTCCAGCGTCTCCTTAGGATGGCTGTAGCTCGTCAGAAGTAGTGGCGAGTGGAAAGTGTTATATTCCCATGACTCGGAAGAGCTCTGTTGTCATGTCAGGATCTTCCCGTCTCCCAGAACTGGGCTTCTCCGCACAGAACTGAACAGAACTGAACTCAACCGAACCGAGTGGAACCCTCACAGAACTCCAGCAGAACTGAGTAGTTTTCAGAACTGAGTAGACCAGGAAGTACCGACATTTTAAAGAGCCCTTTTCCCGGTTCATACGGGAGTCTCCCATTGGCCAGAACCGACCAGACGGGGTGTGTTTTGTGACGTAAAAGGTTAGAATGCAGCAAGAATTGTTATGGAAAGATCAGAAATGTTCTCACAGACAGAGAGAGTTTTGTTTTGGCGCGTTTCAGAAACAGGTGCCAAAACCTCTATATTTACGTCTGAGAGGATTCTAAAAACATGACAGTTCGTTCCAACAACTTGTTTTGCGTTTGACTCCAACCTTGGACCAACTTACACTTGCTCATTCAAAGACAGAAAATCAGAAAATGCATAATTATCTGTAACAGACCTCAACATGAATTCTAACTTTGCATGAGAATTTAAAAATCATTACACAGTTAATAAAATTGATTAGTTCACTGCAACATCTAAAATGGTTTGAACTAAGACACTTTGATTATCAACATTTGTAAAATAGTAATGATAATAAAAGAGAGTGTTCTTTTCACTTGAATCTTCAAGAAAGAAAGTCTCAGGATGGGTGAACCTGTATTTCTGGATTCAAATCAATAAAATGACAGTTTCTGTCCCACAAGGTTCTTAAGGTCAAGGGTTTTGACCTTAGGCTTAGTCGTGACACCAGATTAAGTTCACTACAACATTTACACATCATGCTGCCTCAACAGAGCAGAAAACATAATCATGGAACGTTCACACCCGGGTTTTGAACTGTTTGACTTGTTACCTTCAGGGAAACGCTACAGGTGCATCAGAACACGAACAAACAGATTCAAGAACAGTTTTTTTCCCGAAAGCCATCACCACCCTGAACTCACACATGCACTGATTTAATCATCTAACCTCCCAAACACCTGGACTTCTACTGTGCAATACTACTGACATTTCATACTCTCAGTCACCTTAACTACCTCACTAATATCCATAATGTGCAATACAATTGTGTAATACTTGTATTTTTTACTTTCATTATTATATCTATATTGCGTTACATTTTTTATATTTTTAGTGTGTGTTTAATGTGTGTTTTCTTAAGGCGTGTTTTTGCACTGGAAAAAGGAGTGGCTTTTAATTTCATTGTACTGCGTATAATGACAATAAAGGCATTCTGATTCTGATTCTGATAAGGCTGTTGTAGAGAGAACTATCTCTTCTGCCATCATCTGCTGGGGGAGCAGCACCAGAGCAAGTGACTTAAAAAAGATCAACAAGCTCATAAAGAAGGCTGGCTCAGTTCTGGGGACTCCTCTAGAACCTTTGGAGATGATTGTACAAAGAAGGATTCTTCATAAAATGAAGAACATTATAGACAACCCTCAGCATCCTCTTCATCAGACTGTCATACAACAACAGAGTGTCTTCAGTCAGAGGCTTCTTCAGATCTGCTGTAGGACAGACACTACAAGAGATCCTTCCTGCCCACAACCATCAGCATCTAGAACAACTCTTTAATGAAACCAGGATGATGAGTTACAACAACATTAACTTTCCCTCTGGGATTAATAAAGTATTTTTGTATATGAATGACAATTTGAGGCAATAATTTGGGATAATTTGAGCATGCAAAGTTACTAGGGTCAGGATTATCTGTCTTTACTTTGTCTTCATCTTGGCTAGTTGGAGTTGTTGCTATGGTAAACTATACTGTATATGGATGTTGACAGCAGCAAGTGACAGAAGAGACTGCAGATGAGCGCCTACCTTTTCACCACCAGGCTGAGTGTCTTGTGGGAGCCTTTCACCAGGCAGATTGCCTCCTGTCTGTAGCCACTCAGGGGAACATCGTTGATGTTGACGAGTTCGTCTCCCACATGGAGACTCACCGCTGCTGCCTTGCTACGCTCCTCAACCTAAAACATAAACAAAACAACACACTTAAAGCACCTCAGTGGCCTACTTCAGAGCTCTACAGACTTAGTTTAGATTTAGGTTGTTTTCACACCAGATAGTCCGGTAGACTCGGTTCGGATCGGGACCAATATTCATGACCTTTTGTTTACATTTGAGCTGGTGAGTTTGCATTCACACTGCACTGTGCAGTCGAGCCAACCTGTTGAACCACCCTGTTCCCCCGCTTGCCTGTGGGGGCGCTGCACCAAGAACTACTGAAAGAAACGACACAAAAACCTCTGAAGACACGTCTTCTTATTCTTCTGTAAATAAAAACAAAAACGAAGTGGCATCAAGTTTTAGCAGTTTTAGGAGTTATATTTTGTCATTTTTCAAAAATGGACTTAGCATGAGCAGAAGATGAGACAGAAGACCATGGAGAATATTGTTTTTCACACAAGACAGCTGACGGCTCCATATAAGGTCAGAGAAATGTGTGTTTGTTTGTCCTGCGGAGCGGGACCTGGTCTGTTTACATTCACACTGTACTGGAACCGCGCTGGAGTTCTCTTCTACCGGACCCAGACCTAGGTTTTAGGCCGGGCCATAGTTCGCTTTTTTGTTCCATGACAGAGTTCGATGGCACGTTCACACCTCCCTAAACGAACCGGACTTTCAAAGAAAACGAGCTAGAGTTCGATTAAAGTGGACTAAACAGGACTGGTGTGAATGCACCCTTAGATTTAGACAGAGCCTCACAAAATTCACTTGTGGTTTGCAATTTAAATACTACAGTGTCAAAATGTTTGTGTGCAAAATTATTTAAAAAACCCAAGCAAGAAAAGAAAATAACATTTCTGTGTTCTAACGTTAATATCTACATATATAGGGGTGAAATTGCTAAAGGGTATTTAATGGACTAATTAGTGTAGCGGCTAATTAGCACTTAATTGTAACTTTTAGCATTTGAAGCCTAAACAGTATTTGTTTCCATTTTGTTTTCTTTAAAAATACTTATTTAATAGTGCAAGTTGGCTTGGCTTTTGAATTTGACCAAAGAAAAACTAAAGAGGAGAAATAAGCAACACGACAGCTCAGTGGTTAGCACTGTTGCCTCACAGCAAGAAGGTCCTGGGTTCAGTCTCCGATTGGACATACGGTCTTTCTGGGTGGAGTTTGTATGTTCTTCTTGTGCTTGCGTGGGTTTTCTCCGATTTCCTTCTACAGACCAAAAACATGCATGTTAGGCTGCCTTCAGGCCCAGGCCTCACTTGTGAAGAAGATCCGTGATCTCAATGGGATTTGCCTGGTTAAATAAAGGTTAATAATAATAGTAGAGATGACACCAATTATGTTAGTTAGCTAGGTGTTCAGTAGCAGTGGACCTTATTTGACTTGTGTAAGTCTAGAAATGCTGACATTAATATTTAGCTTAATTAGTTAAAAAAAAGTCAAAAACATGGCCGAGAAAGGCAGATTTATTAATTTTCTTAATATTTTTGTAGGTTATACACGTCATCCAGGCATCATAAAACTTTCTGCCTGGAAAAGCTTGCAAAACTACCTGAAAAGAGGTTTACAGTTAAGTGAGAAAATCCAACACCACCATTTTATCTATAGAAGCGGTCCGCTAAAATTCAATTACGTATAGGCTTCGCCCTTTAAGGCTGTCGCTAGTGGGTTTATCCCAATGCGCAGAGCACCATCACTGAAAATTTTAGTCCATGCCCACCTACTGTGTGGGCCCCACCCCCAATTTATATAAACTGCCTCAGAGACCGTGGATTAGGGGTGGGCGATATGGCTCAAATATAATATTGTTTTATTTCAGAGCATTCTGACGATAATGATAAATTTTGTGATAACAAAAAAAAAAAACAGAAATCATAGTTATTCATTTGACAAACTGAACTTGTTGCTTTGCAGTATTATATAAAAACAAAAAAACAAGGGTAAATTTTAATGCAATTACTTTATTTAGTATTCAGTCTCAAAGTATAAAAATTAAAAAAATTAAAAAGATCCTTCTGTTATTTAGATTGAAAAAGTTTGTACAAAATATAGATCAACAAAACCCACCACAAAAACTAAAGTGCAGGTGCAGTTCCCAAAAAAACTAAATACAATTAAAGCTTAAAATCCATTGAGCATAAATGTAACGTACAAGAAAATACATGTTGCCTTTAGACGAGCTATAACTTCCGAACTTGCGACAAATGCTGAAAACTAATGAAATGCTGCCTGAAAGCAACAAAGTCCATGCTCAATAATTCAATAATCCAGGTATACAATCCAACAATTTTCAGTCAGGTCATCTGCACAGTTTCTTTGTTTTTTACTGTGCTGAAACATTTCACTTTCCATCCAGAAGGCTTCATCAGCCTGGGGGGCGCAGAGGTCAGACAAGTTGGACCTGTGATCGGAAGATCGCCGGTTCAAGCCCCGGTACAGACAACATCAAAAAAGTGGGTGGGGTAGGCAAAGCACCCACACCTGCCCCACCCTCATTCGTCCAACCCTGGGCCCATGAGTAAGGCCCTTAACCCCATCTGCTCCCTAAAACAGGTCTCTCTTGAAAATGAGTTCTCGTGGCTCAATGAGACAACCTGTATAAATAAAGGGTAAATGAAAAAAAAAAAGTTTAGTTGCTTTTGCAAAAAGTTAGTGGCAATTAGCGATTTCATATTATTGTTCAAAATACTAAAATAAGTGACTTTAAAGGTGCTATTTCAAAAATACATGTGTGTGTGTATATATATATATATATATATATATATATATATATATACACATATGTACATATGTACATTATACATATACATACAAACCGGAGTCCAAAAAAGTACATACACATATACATACATATACACATACATACACATATACATACATATACACATACATACACATACACATATACACATACATACACATATACATATACACATACATACACATATACACATACACAGATCCAAGATGGCGCCGGTGTGTAGGGCTGCCCGTCTCTCGCTCTCTGCTTGTATTTTATTTTTGTTATTTTTACAATGGTTTGTGCAGTGTGTCGAGTCATATTTTCAGTATGATCGTCGGGCACTTTTGGAGCTCCGTACTTTTGCTGAAATTCCCACGGAGTTTTTGAACAGCGGTCAGCACTCTCCCCCACCGGTCCTACCTGAGATTCCTGCGTTCCTTCTGCGTGACCCTGGCCTTTCTCCATGGAGGAAACGTCGCAGACGTCGTGGGAAGCGTGCAGGGATTTTGGTGAAACTGAGGCAAAGTGTGGTTTATTCTAACAGGACTCGCTCTGGATCTGATCATCTCCTCTCTGACCCGTGGTGCTCCCGGGGCCCGGCTGCTGGCCAGCTGCCCGCGCGCTCAGTCCATGTAAACACCTGGAGTTGTTTACCTGTGCGCCGCACCAGCAGACCTGGAGGAGCCGTTCTTCATAACCTGCGCCCGCTGGCGCGCGCGTCTCCCTCCACGGCTGTGCCTGTGTCGGACAATATCAGGATGTGTTTAATCAACGCAAGGTCTGTTTCCAACAAGACGTTTATCCTCAATGACTTTTTTAAAGATGAGGAGTTGGATTTTCTGTTCGTCACAGAATCTTGGATTTCTGATGGTGAGTCCAGCGCCTTGGTGGAACTACTTCCTCCGGACTGTGTATGTTTCAATGCCCCGCGGCCATCAGGTCGGCGCGGGGGGGGGATTATTAACAGTTTTTAAAGCAAACTTTGCGTGTAAACAGTTGTCCATCCCGGTGCCCCGCGCCAGCTTCGAGCTGAGCGCCTTTGAACTTGGACACTCTCCTCCGGTCCTGTGTGCGCTCATCTACCGCCCACCTCGTTCTAAGGACTTCATAAATGAATTCTCTGACTTTTTGGTTGATATCACACAGAGATACAATCACTTTTTGCTTATTGGTGACTTTAATTTGCATGTGTGTTGTCAGGAGAAGCCCTTAGTGAAGGACTTTCTGGATTTATTGGACTCTTTTAATTTAGCTCAGCAGGTGAGCGGCCCCACCCAGGAACATGGTCACACGCTGGACCTCGTTTTAACACGCGATGTCTCTGTTTCTAATTTGAAAATCGGTGACAATGTTTTTTCAGATCACATGCCTGTATTGTTTGACTTCACCCCCCCTTGTCATACTGCTAAGACGTGCGTTCCTGCACGTACGCGTTCCATTAACCATTTTACTGCTGCTCGTTTTAATGAAGGTTTTAATTCTGAGAGGATCGAACAGTTCCCGGTGTCTCTTACCACTGAGGAGCTAACCTCTCAGTTCAACTCTGCCTGTTTAAATGTTCTGGACCATGTTGCTCCCCTTAAGACCAGAAAAACAAAACTTAAATCAGAGCCTTGGCTGAATGACGTCACGCGAGCCGTTAGGCGGCAGTGTCGCAAAGCTGAACGAAAGTGGAGGAAGGACAGGCTCCAGGTGTCTTTTCAAATGTTAAGGGAGAGTTGGCGTCACTATCAGAAAACCGTTAAAGTTGCCAAATGTAAATTCTTTTCTGATTTAATTGTCTCCAACTCCCACAACCCCCGAGTTCTTTTCTCCACCCTGAACTCAGTTCTACACCTCAGTGAGCCTTCACCTCTGGAAGCCTCAACTGAGCTGTGTGAAAACTTCCTCCATTTCTTTTTAGAAAAAGTGGCAAACACCCAGGCACTCATTTCTCCACCAGCTCATGATCTGTCCATCCCTTCTCAGTGTGTGGCTGTGTTTGACCACTTTGAGCCCATCTCTCTGTCCTCTCTGGAGCAGGTAATGTGCAGCATGAAGCCATCTGGTTCCCCCTTTGATGTGGTCCCCCCTCGACTGCTAAAGGAAGTTTTTCCTACCCTGGGTCCTTTTATCCTCGCTATTCTGAATAGCAGTTTATCCTCAGGTGTGGTGCCAAAGACTTTTAAACATGCTGCTGTCCAGCCCCTCCTGAAAAAACCTAACCTTGACCCCTCAGTCATGTCCAACTTCTGGCCTGTCTCCAGACTCCCATTCACCTCTAAA